TATATATATATATATATAATGATTTCTATTTGTAAATTTAAATTTATAACAATATAATTCTTTATATAATAATGATGTATTTCTAGTGATCAAATTTTAACCATAAATTTTATGAGAAAATATATTCATATAGCTCGTTGTATGAAACCAAAGCTCACAGAAGAAGCTAGTGAAGTCATTGCTGCTGAATATTCAAAATTACGATCAGAAGAATCAATAGATTCTGATACAGCAAGAGTAAATAATTTTTCTTATTTTTCTTATTATTTTTCTTATCTTATGTTATTTTTATTTATTATATTATTATTTAATAGAAATTTTCATTTATTCATTATTTCATTAATTTTTTATTATTTCATATTAGACTCAACCTGTAACAGCTCGTACTTTAGAAACGCTAATTCGATTATCTACTGCACATGCAAAAGCTCGTTTATCAAAAAATGTTACTGCAGAAGATGCACATGCAGCGATAGAATTGGTAGAATTTGCCTATTTTAAACGAGTATTAGAAAAAGAAAAGAAGAAACGAAGACGAAATGACAGTGAAGAAAGTATGGATGGAGAAAATCAAAATGAAAAAAAGAAAAAACGTGTAAAAAAAGCTAAAGAAACTTTACAAGATCAAGATCCATATAATTTTGAAAGTGATGATGATAGTTATATTGATGAAGCTGCAAAAAAAGTTACTAGATCACAAATGAAAACAACTGATTCAAGTTCAAATCAATCATCAGCACTTGATTTTGATTGTACTACATTACCAGAAACTCTTACTATCATTAATGAAGAAAGGTATGTTTAAATTATTTTTAATTTTTTATTATTTTCAAAAAATATCTCAATATTACATATATGTAAATATCTCAATATACATATTCTGTAATTTTAGATTAAAAGTTTTTAGAACACTTCTTTATAAATTATTTCAACAACAAAGAGCACAATCACTTCCATTATCTAGAGTACGCGAATATATAAATAATCAACAAAGTCAAGAATTTACATCTAATGAAATTTCTGCTGCAATTAATAAAATGTCTGATGCAAATCAAATTATGGTTGCAGATGATAATATTTTTCTTATGTAAGACATATTTTATATTTTTTACAAAATTGTAAAAATGATTAATTATAAAAATGTTTTAATAAATATCTATATTTCAATTAAATTATACTTTTTATTTATATCATAAGTACATATTATGAATATTTAATATATTTCATTCAGAATTTATAAAAATAATATTTGATGTTTATTTTTACCCAAAATAAAACAGCTATATTGTGTACATTTATATTTTACTACATTATATATATATTATTACATTACTTACATTAGTATATATATATAGTGATCAACATTCATTACAATATTGTAAATGTGTTTTATATTTTAAAATTTTTTTTTATACATTTTTTATACATAATTTATTCTATCTGCATTTTAAACAAGTTTTTAATGATATTAAAAAATTTGTAATATCATTATTTTTACATAATTGTTATAGCTGTTTTCACAACTTTTTATAATTTTGAATATATAGCATTTTTATAATTATAATAATCAAATTATCAGAAAATAATCTTATTATTTGATATTTAATTTCGTACGATTATAATATTTTATCATAAAATTATTATATTCATTTCATTTTAGAATTTGTATAATTAAATAATTTATCATTGAATGTACCAAATTGTTATATTTTATTATATAAAAATTATATATTCGTAATTTATGGTATAATGGGGGTACAATGGGTACAAAAAAATATGTTTGAATGAAATCATAACTACGAAGAACGAAATCATTTTATTTACGAAAATATCGTTTTCAAGAAAATATAATTAAAAATCAATCAAATATTATTTACATATGCATTTGAATTGATTGGTATTTAAACTTCACTATAGATCGACATTATAAATATTTCTATATAAAATAAAATATCTGGATATGTTTATTAATCTATTAACATGTTTTTAAGATGTACAAAAAACACATTAAATATAAAAGATAATAATAAAAATAATAATTTCAGTTAAAATAATTGCTTTAATTGAATTTAATTTGTTATTTATTAATTGATGATTTTATAATTTGAAAAACTTCATATATATGAACATTTTAAATATATTAATTAAAAATTGTAGCTAGATTAAACAAATAAGAAATTAAATTCAATTAATATTAATAGAGCAACTATACTATTTATTTCATTATTACCATTTTATTATATTTAGTATTTTCCATATCTTGAAAATATTAAATATTGATAATATTTCAATATAAAAATCCTTAATATCAATTATTAATTAAATATATATATTATTATACATATATATATTGTACTTGATTAATTTTTAAATACAATTTTTGTTCAAGAATAATATCTTCAATTTTTTATTCTTAATTTTTATATTTGAACTATAAAATTAGCTATCTTCTTGTTTTCATTTATATCGTAGATTATGGAGTACTCTTTATGAATATATTCTATTTTCTATGAATTTTAATAAGAAATCACTAATATTAATCAATTTATAATCAACTATTCTCTATATAATATAAATCTTCATATGATATAATAATATTAAAAATAAATTTCGTGTTTAATTATCTTTTATTTATATTCATATTCATTTTTTTTTCATTTTTAATAACATTAATTTCATTAATTATAATTAAAATGATTTCATGGTTTAATATTTTTTTATTATATAAAATCTATTA